AATTTACTGGACGGAGAGGAAGGAGGAAGGTTGGGCAGGGCTTGGAGGAGAGGAAGCACAGCCAGGTCACACTGATCTAATTCTCCAAAATTCCAAGAATCAGCTGGCTAGAATTTCACCATCGATGCCACCCACTACCTCTGTACCATCTGCTGCTGCCTCCATGAATAACCTCTGCCCCTGCATCTTTGGGTCACTCCTTCAAGAGGCAATGAATGTTTGAGGTGGGAGCAGTCCACTGACTGAGCTGAGGTCATGTGCCTGAGTCCTGGTTACCATGTTAACAGGGAAATAAAGTCTGTCCCTGTAGGACTCCATCAAAGGAGGTAGGACCCTGCTTAACCCAAACCCAGTCAAAAAGAAAATCTCTCAAATAGGAGAGGTGTCTGTTTAAATTCAGAGTAGTTAAAAAACGGCAAATGGCAACTATGACCCCCCCAACTTCCATGTGACTAATGGGTTTTTTTCTTTTGACAGAAATCAATGAGATTAGCTATTGTATTTAAGTAAGGTCACATTTACAACATTCCTGAAAGAAATCCCTGTCCAAGTTGATGTTTACTTTCTATACTTGTTACCAAAGAACAGAAAGGGACCCACCTATAACCTCATTCAAATGAAGTAATGGAATTACGCTTAGCTCTTACCTCAGCCCTCTTTTCTGTCACACCTGAGGCAAAAACACTTGATCCTCTGTAAGCAGTCTGGGGCTATGGGAAAGAACCTCAGTTTCCTCTGCTCCTTTTTTCCTAAATCAAGTAATTCCTATCTACAATAGCTAAAACTAAAAGGAAAGAAATACCTGCCAAAGACCAATTCCACACCAACCCATAAGTTTCCTAAGGCTGCTGTAACAAATTACTACAAATTAAGCGACTTTAAAAATAAAAAAGAAAGAAAGAAAACCCAGGAATTTATTCTCAGGAGGCCAGAAGTCTGAAATCAAGGTGTCAGCAGGGTTGGTTCCTTCCAGAGACTCTGAGGGAATCTGTTCTGTATCTCTCTCCTAGCTTCTGGAGGTTGCCAGCAATCCTTGGCATTCATTGGCTTAGAGATGCATCATTCCAATTTCCGCCTCCATCTTCACATTCCCTTCTTCTCTGTATCTCTTTATGTGTCAAACACCCCTCTCCTTTCTCTTATATGGACACTAGTCATTGTGTTTAGGGTCTACCATAAATCCAGGATGATCTCATTTCAAAGTCTTTAATTACACCTGCAAAGACCCTGTTTCCAAATAAGGTCACATTTACAGGTGTCAGAGTTTAGGACTTGGACATATCCCGTCAGGATACACAATTCAACCCACCATATCAACCAAAGGCTGAAGCCAGTGTGGTTATTCTTAATATCGTTGGAGAGAGAATAAAGGAACAAAGAAAACCCTTTGGCTGTCTCTGTCCCTTGGTGTTCTAAAATTTCTTTGTCTTTACTTATTTTAAAAGAACTAAAATGACTGCTATAACTTCTGTGGAGGTCAATCTGGTAATATCTAACAATCACAAATGCATATGCCTTTTGGGTAGAAGTTCTTTTTATAATTTTTTTGAAGTATAACATGCATAAAGAAAAGTGCACATATCATAAGGGTAGACTATGCTAACCTAAATATTGTTCTTTCCTTTTCCACTTATATTAGGTAAACAATCACTTTAAAGCCTTTTTTTTCCTACTGTAAACATGACACATATTTAATGCAAAAAAAAATCAGAAAAATTGAGACAAGTACAAAGAAATGACACAACAACCATAGTATTACCATTAACCATCAACGTTTTGTTATAGTCTAGTCTGGGTTTTTTCCAATATGAGTATACACATGTATTTTTTTTAAAACAAAGATGGAATGGTATGATACTTATTTTTTTGTAGTTTCTTAAGTTATGATGGATTGGGCCCAATTTTTTATATAATTAAATTAACACAGTTACATCATAATTTTTAATGACTGTATAGCATCCTTCTTTTAAGATTTTATTTTTTTAAGTCATCTCTACACCCAATGTGGGGCTCGAACTGAGATCAAGAGTTGCATGCTCCATCGCCTGAGCCAGCCAGATGCCCCTGTATAGTATCCTTCTTAAGTGAAGCCCCACTGAGGAACATTCAAGTTGTTTTCAGTTTTTTGATATTACAAATACCACTGCGGTAATACAATACTGCATACATGTTTGAAAACCTTTTAAAAGGCCAAATTTGAAATACAGACACATATGATAACTTGTGTATCTTAAATGTGTATCGAAAAGAATTCCTGACATTCCCTCCAAACTTGCTATGGCCATAACCTTCTCCATCCCAGTTAAATGCAGCGTCCCTTTCCATTAGCTCAAGCAAAAAAAAACAAAAAATAAAATAAAATAGAGTCATCCTTGATGCTCTCTTTCTTTCATACCTAATCCAAATAATCAGCAAATTCACTTGGCTCTTTCTTCCAGATACATCCAGAATTCAACCATTTATTTCCTCCAGTGCTCGAACACTGGCCCATGTCACCATCATCTATTGCCTGAACAACAGCAGTGGCCTCCTAACTAGGGTTGCCAAATTTAGCAAATAAAAATACAAAGACACCCAGTTGAAATTGAAGTTAAGATAAACAAGATTATTTTTTAGTATATATAAACCCAAATACTGCATTCTCCATGAAGCGGCCAGAGGGATTCTTTGAAGAAGTCACCCAGAAAGAGTCACTCGTCTATTCAAAACCCTGTGCTGTCTTTTCACCTCAGTTGTAATAAAAAGTAGTCAGAATGGCTGAAATTAACAAGTCAGGAAACAACATGTTGAGGAGAAAGGGGAAGAATCCTACACTGTTGGCAGGAACGCAAGCTGGTGCAGCCCCTCTGGAAAACAGTATGGAGGTTCCTCAAAAAGTTAAAAATAGAGCTACCCTACAACCCAGCAATTGCACTCCTAGGTATTTAACCAAAGGATACAAACATAGTGATTCGAAGGGGCACCTGCACCCCAATGTTTATAGCAGCAATGTCCACAATAGCCAAATATGGAAAGAGCCGAGATGTCCATATATATATAAAATGAATAATGAATATTATTCAAGCCATCGAAAAGAATGAAATCTGGGGCGCCTGGGTGGCTCAGTTGGTTAAGCATCTGCCTTCGGCTCAGGTCATGATCCCAGGGTCCTGGGATCGAGCTCCGCATCCATCTCCCTGCTCAGCAGGGAGCCTGCTTCTCCCTTGAGCTCTGCCTCTCCCCAACTTGTGCTCTCTCTGTCTCTCTCTAATGAATAAATAAAATCTTAAAAAAAAAGAAAGAAAAGAATGAAATCTTAACCATTTGTAACGGTCTGGATGGAAATAGGGGGATTATGCTAAGCTAAATAAGTAAATCAGAGAAAGACAATTATCATATGATCTCACTCATAAGTGGAATTTAAGAAACAAAACAGAGGATCATAGGGGAAGGGAGAGAAAAATAAGAGGAAATCAGAGAGGGAGACAAAACATCAGAGACTCTTAACTCTAGGAAACAAACAGGGTTGCTGGAAGGAAGGTGGGTAGGGGGATGGGGTAACTGGGTGATGGGCATTAAGGAGGGCACTTGGTAATGAGCACCGAGTGTGATATGCAACTAATGAATCAGTAAACTCTACCTCTGAAACTAATAATACACTATATGTTAATTAATTGAATTTAAATTTTTTTAAAAAGCAGAAAACCTTAAAGCTGAGGCCCACAGCCCTGCAGGATCTACTCCTAGAAGCTCTTTCCTTGTTGGTCTCATTAGCCTCCCTGTCCTCCCCTTCCCTCTGCTTGCTTCTTTCTTATCCCAAATATACCTAACATCTTTAGGTCTTTGCTTACATTTATCTGAGAGACCTTCCCTAATCATCCTGTTTAAAATTGCAGGCTTCCCTCTCCCCTTCCCTACTTTATATTTCTCTTCAACACTTACGATAATAAACATTTCTTTCATTTATTGTCTTTTTCCTTCCACCAGAATTTAAGTTCCATAAGGGCACTTTGTTCTTATTCACTGCTGTATCCCCAGTGTTGAGAATACTGCCTGGCACATAATAGATGCTCAATAAATATTTAATAAATGTCGAATTAAGGAAATGTAGTTATCCAAATCAATAAAGCTTATTTCAGTTTCACTAGAACTCCTCTCACATTCTGATCATTCAGCATGTTATCTATTTCAAAGTAGTCAAGTAACTGCTGTATCTTAGAGAAGCCATTTCCTGTAATTCTTTAATAGTAGCAAACACTTATTGAGCTCTTACTATGTGCAGACACGGTTCTAAGGTATAATATCTTGGAGCCGTAGGTATTCGGATTATTATTATTATTACAGTTAATTTACAGATGAGGAAATTAAGACCGGGTAAGGTGAGTAATTTGCTCAGGATCGTATACACGGATACGGCAGCGATGGGTACAGAACCCTTAACTATAGTACTCTGCAGGGTCACTTTTAGGTCCCTTTCTGTTTTCTTTTGATAGGTAAATTGTTTTGGTTAAGCTATCCGTGAAAAGCTCTTAAGGATCAAAGTCAAAACCTGCCTAAAGCCAAGTGCTTTATCCCGCTCCAGTCAAGGACTCAGCATTTTGCATTTGAATCCTGCGTGGCGGGAAGCTGAAGGCAGGTGACGGGCGGGGCTGGGAGGAGGCGCCAGGCCCCCGCCAGCCAATCAGAACAGGCAGGAGCCTCCCTGCCCCCCCCCCCCAGCCCCGACAGCCACGCGCCAAAATTCCAAACGGGACCTCTTCTCGCTACCCATCGTCTCCCTCCGCCGAGATCAGCGAGCCGGAACTATATAAGAAAAAGAAGTCAGCGTTCTCCCGCCACTGTCCGCTCAGGTCCTGGTCACTGTCGATGCAGGTCCACGTCAACTTCAACCCGAAGTCCTTCGCCCGGCAGAAGGGCGAAAAGTTTCGAGCCGGCCGTTGTAGGGACGCGGCGTGGGCGGGACAGGCGGCGGAGGGATTCCGGGTGCGCGCGCTGCGGCCGCTGGCGCGGCGCTAGTGGCGCCAGAATTCGGAGCGCGGAAGAGCCTGAGCGGCTGTCGGTCGTACTCGAGCCCGTCTCCCGCCGCGGACGCCGGGCGAGGAGACAGGGAAGATGGTGGTCCTCCGCAGCAGCCTGGAGCTACATAGCCACTCCGCCTCCTCGGCCACGGACCCTCTGGACCTGTCCAACGAGTTCCTCAGCCTGGAGCAGATCGGCCGGAGGCGGCTCCGCTCGGCCCGTGTCGCTGAGCAGTCCGCCGTCACCGTAGCCGCCGCGGGCGTGAGTACCGGCCTGGGGCGGGCCCCTCGGGCCGGGCCTGCGGAACTGCCCGCGGCGTGTTGGCCGGGTGGGGCCTGAGGGTGGGCGGTGCGGTCCGGGTGACAGTTGGTGGGGGGAGGTTGGGAGGAGTGTTGTCGAGGACAAGTAAGGTGGAAGGTTTCCTAAGATCGGAGCCCAAAGAGGTGTGGGTGGGGCAAGAGATCAGGTAGTCTGGAAGAGGGCTAGGCAGTTCGTTACTACCTCATTTCACGCAAGAGCAAACCGAAGCCCTCTGGAATCTTGGTTTGTTGGGCTGCCCCACCCCCATCTCACACACCTCCCTATCTCCCAGGCTCCTGCCCTAGGTTCGCATCTATCGAGAGCAGCCCACGTTTACTGACTCCCTACTGGATGCAAGATAGATGTTTTAGGAGCCACGGGAATAGAAAGATTGTAATTCAGGTTCCCTGACCTTCATTTGCGATCCAGAGAGGTTCGGTAATAAGAGCGCCGTGAATAATACCAGGTTGCATAATGTGGAGAGATGGAGACCAACATTTCACGTACACCTTCTTCACTTAAGCCTCGTTAATAGCTCCATGAGAATGGATAGTTATGATATCTATGTTACAGACCAAAAAACGGACTCAAAGTAGCCAGTGAGGGCTAGATCTAAAATTGGAACTTGGATCCTCTGCCTCCAAAACCTTTCCCTTTCTCTTATATCATGCTTTAATTATAAACAATGTCTATAGGGGAAGTTTCCAAGGGGGTGGAGCAGTAAAGTCTTGAAAGAATTGCTTCTCTTTCTAGGTCTGAAGTACAGATTGGATTTTTTGATTGTATAGTTAAGGCCGGGAGGTTGGCGGGCGGGGCGGGGGGAGTCCCTCCACCTCCCTCCCTACCGCAGCTGCTGAAAGAGGCACAGGTGGAGGAGACAGCGTTAACAAAAGGCTGGAGAAGTTGAATCAACACTAGAAAAGTTAAGGCAGCAGGAAGTAGTCTAGTTCTCTTTGAGGAGGGTAGGCATGGGGCTGAGAAAAATAGGACCGGAGAGAGGGTTAGGAAGTGGGAAGTCAGAATGAGAGGCCAAGGGGGAAAGAGTGACAAAACAGTTCAGGGAGTGATCACTATATGAAATTAGTTGTATGTATCTTTTGTAGGCACCCTGTACTAGTTGCTCTTCTACTGAAGGGAGTGAAAAAGTCTGTTTGATCTCTGCAATTGTGATTCTGAATTGAAAAAATAATAATTTCCTGACTTTCAGGATCACATGTTGAGATTGAGATCTGAGGAGGCCAGACACTTCTGCACTGAACTCAGGTCCCTTGACTTACTAACAACCTATGTTCAGAAAATCTAATTATGTCAATAAATAGTTATTGAATATTTATTACCTTCTGGACAGTGCTAGATCCTATGACTATAATGATGTATTGAGCACTGATTAAGTAACATAGGCGCTTAAAACAACTCTTAGTTTTGAATCTCAGCTTACCAATAATCTACAGTTGTTAAAAGAGGTGATACCACATGTGTAGTGAGGATTAAATGTGATCATGCATGTAAGGAGATGACCTGAACACTTGGCATATAGTTAGGACTCAGTCATTGTCAGCAGTTAAGACCACAGTCAATTTTAATGCCCAGTCGCATCTTTCCATTTCTTCAGGCCAAAAACCTGAGAGTCGTCCTGACTCCTCTCTCATTTCGTATTAGCAAATTCTGTTGGCTCTACCTTTTTTTTTTTTTTAAGATTTATTTATTTATTTATTTATTTGACAGAGAGAGAGAGCGCGCACAAGTAGGCAGAGCAGCAGGCAGAGGGAGAAGCAGGCTCTCCACTGAGCAGGGAGCCTGACACAGGGCTCGATCCCAGGACCCTGGGATCATGACCTGAGCGGAAGGCAGCCGCCTAACCAACTGAGCCATCCAGGCGCCCCTGTTGGCTCTACTTTCAAAGTATATTTGGAATCTGACCACTTTTCAGATCCTCCATTGTTGCCATGCTGGTCTAAGCCATAATCTCTTCCCTAGGTTGTTAAAACGGATTCTTGACTGCCCTCCTGGTTTTCCACCCTTCTATATAATGATCCCCTTCCACAACCGTCAGTTTTCAGTATAGCTTACAGAGATCTTTATAAAAGTCAGGAACAGTTGATCACTCCTCTGCTCAAAAATCTCTGAGTAAAAGTTGAAAAGTTTGGGAGTAGCCCTACGCCCCTTTCTCTTTATGATGACATCCTCTTCCATTTTCCCTTTTGCAAAACCTAGTTTATTCCAGCTGTATTGGTCTAGCTGCTGCTTGAATACCAGGGCCTTTGTACTTGTTCTCCCCTCTGTTGGGAATACTCTTCCCCTGAATATCTGCATGATTCATTCCTATTTACCTTTTACATTTTAAATTTTTTTAAAAGATTTTATTTATTTGACTGAGAGAGGGAACACAAACAGGGGGAGTGGGAGAGGGAGAAGCAGGCTCTCCGACGAGCAGGGAGCCCGATGTGGGGCTCGATCCAAGGACCCTGGGACCATGACCTGAGCCGAAGGCAGACGCTTAATGACTGAGCCACCCAGGCGCCCCTACATTTTTAATTTTTATAAAATCTCAGAACTCATAGTATGTAACATTTTCGAAGAATTTCATAATTATTAATCCTCCTTATGAGGTAGATATGATCATCTTTGTTTTGCAGGTGAGGGAACTGAGACATGGAGACCTAAATAATGTGCTCAAATTTACCTTTATAATAAGTGATAGAGCTCCAGGTTCTACCTAGGAGAACCTAGGAATCTGTCTCTTTCAAGTCTGCTAAAACTTCACCTTTTCAGTGATGCTTACCCTAACCACCTTATTTAAAATTACAGATCACTCTCATTGACATGCCTCTTACTCTGCTTTGTGCTTCCTTATTACTTATCACCTTCTTACATGTTCTATTAAATTCCTACTTTTTAAATATTTTCTCTCTCCCTAACTCAGAATGTAACTCTCTATTCTGGATTTTGACCTTTTGTTCGGTATTGTATTTCTAGGACCTTTAATAGGTGCATAATAAATATTCGTTGTTAACTATCCTTGCGCTAAAGGGACTTAGTCTAGCAGAGAACTAACATATCAAAATACTGAGACTAGTTGCCATTCTTGCCATATCAGGGGTATGTGGTGGCTGAGCCGTTAGCACTAAGATGGATTTTGTAGGGTGAAAGGGATTTTTTTTTTTTCCCCAGGCTAGGATTTCCAGTAGGGATTATAACTTTTTGAGACATAGTACTTCTGTCTTCTATAAATTCTCCATAGACCAAATTATAATCAAAGGGTTACTTAGCATTGGATTGGATCAAAAGAAACGGATAGCCCTGAGGGGTAATGTATTCATGCTGTCAAAGCCCACCAATACCAAAAATGAAACATACCTTTGTGATTGGAATATTTTCTAATTTGGGGACTTACATTCAATACATTTGATTTAATTACAGCTTGCTTTTTACATCAGTCATGCACTTCAGAAACTTAACTCCTGATCACCCTGATTGTATTTAGGTATTCTTATCTCCTCAGCTATATATTTATTGACAGATAATTTTTTAGGGTAAGTTACTTTTAAAGATGGTTAAATTTATTCATATTAATTTGTTAACTTGGATTTTTCTTTATCTCATCTGGGAAGCTGACCCTATATTCAATTTCTGAAGGTACTTATAGTCACCTATTTATTAACCTCTTTCTACCTTTACATTTTGAATATGTTCTCAATCAGCTGGGCTTAAGGATTTACTTGTTTTTGTTTTTTGGTTTTTCCTCCTAACTTGTATGGGTTCCTGAAGTTTTGTTTTAAATTTGTTTTTTGTTTGTTTCTTAAACTTTTATTTTCATCCTAATTGGATCACAAGATCTAGCATTTGCATCCATTCAGATGCCTCTTCTGTGGTTCTTTTTCTTCGAGAGTCAGACTAGCCATTGCCTATTTCTGTGCTGTTCTTTGATTCATTAAATTTAGGGTTGTTCTCATGCTAATAGTACGGAATAGTGTCTCATGGATAGTAGTGGGATGATGAGTGTACATTACTTTTACGTTGTGTTTACATACATTTTTACTTTTCTATATGTTAGGTAAAATAAAATATGCTGTGGTATGTAGAAGGTACTTTTTTAAGTTGTCTATTTTAAAAGTTTGAAAAGTACTGTAAATGACACTGAAATGTACAACATATGGGAGATTCTTTAAAACTTGGTGTGTAACACAACACAGAAAAATGAAAAGTGTCCAACTTAGTAAATTATCACAAAGCATAAATGGGGATATTTTGACATATTGCTGTGACTGTTGCATCCGAAGTTGAGTGACATGGCTGCTCTGAATTCAAGTGTGTACTTGTTTTTATGTAATAATAAGTAGTCCATTTTTGTCAGTTTGTGTTAAAAGACCGGCCGTTGATTTTATGCTTAGAAGTTGCAACTTTTAGAACAGGGATCTGACGAAATAGTGTTTAAGATGGATTATAGTCAACAAATGTAGAGCTTGGAAGACCAGTTAAAAGATTATAATATTGATAGCTACCAATTACATAGCACTTGCTGTGTACCAGGCATGGTACCTAATGTACACATAACACATTTGCCTTATTAAGTAACTATTTTTTTTTTTTTTAAGATTTTATTTATTTATTTGACAGAGAGAGAGAGCGCGCACAAGTAGGCAGAGCAGCAGGCAGAGGGAGAAGCAGGCTCTCCACTGAGCAGGGAGCCTG